AGACAAATAATGCCACAATGTTGGAAATACTAAGAGATGATTCAAACCAACCCAACAAACATGGTGGTTCTATTCTAGGCCAAAAATTCATTTATCGTGATAGCCAAAAGGGTCATGATCAACTATTCTTGGATTATTTTGTTAAAAATTCAATTTATACCCCTTCAACATTTCAGCAACACTTTTGAATGTCATGTAGTCTATTTATTTGTATTCTCAATGGCATTGAAAGCATATTATTCTTTTTTTTATTCAAAAAATAGATGCTTGTCATGTTCTTGGATTGTCTTCTCTTCAAAAGATGACATCCTTAATTGGAATGCTTGCCTATGGAATATCGGCGGATGTGTGTGGATGAGTATGTACGAATTGGGGAAAGCACCACAATCTTAAATTTTAAACATTTTTGTCGATTAGTTATTGAAGTTTTTGGAAGTGAGTACCTCAGATCTCCAAAAAAAGATGATATCACTAGGCTACTTGTTGTAGGGGAGGCTCGTGGGTTTCCTGATATGTTGGGAAGCTTAGATTGCATGCATTGCGAATGGAATAATTGTTCGACTGGTTGGCAAGGTCAATATTGCGATCATGTAAAAAAATCTACTATAATTCTAGAAATCGTAGTTTATCATGACTTGTGGATTTGACACGCCTTTTTTGGAATGTCAGAATCTCACAATGATCTCAATATCTTAGATCGTTCTCCTCTATTTTTTGAACTTGTCCAAGGGCGAGGCCCTCCTACCAATTACTCTATTAATTGACATACCTACAATATGAGGTATTTATCTTGCTGATGGTATATTTCCTTCATGGGCGACATTGGTTCAAACCATTTCTTCTCCACAAGGAGTCAAGAAACAACATTTAGCTATAATGCAAGAGTCGGCAAGAAAAGATGTGGAGCGAGCATTTGGGGTTCTACAATCTCGATTTGCAATTGTATGTGGACCAGCACAGTTTTGGGATCCCGAAACACTTGTGGATATCATGAAGACATGTATTATTTTGCATTATATGATTGTTAAAAATGAGTGAGATGACTATGGCGATTTTGAATATGAAACATCATCGCATGACACATCAATTGTAGTTTCATGAGAGTTTACCAATGACTTTGAGTCCTTCATAGCTCGTCATGTAAGAATTAGAGATAAAAATGCTTATCATGCCCTCTGGAATGACTTAATTGAGCATCTATGGCATCGTCACGGAGGGATGTGACTTTTAGCATGGAGAGAAATATCGTAGCAAGTTATTGTTAATTCATGATTGCTTGAAAAAAAAAATTATGATTTTATATTTAAAATTTTTTTGGTCTTTTATGTGGTTTTATTTCTCTTTAAGTAATCATTATGGATGGGACAAACAATATGTTTATTAACCTAACATCATGCATGACGTGTATACCATGAAATCCAAAACACAAACATATTCACATAATCTCACCATTTCAAACCAAAAAAACCACAACAATAATTTAAAAGCATAACACCAGTTTCAAGTTGTAGCGTTTTCTAGTATGCAGCAAAAGCATGTGGCATAACCAACTGGAAATAATAAAATAACATTATCTCAAGATCAAAAGCAATACTAAACTCCGAGCAATAAATTAAAACCCATTGTTTATATTTTGAAAAATTATTTGTCTTTGAAAATCTTCATAGTAGGACTTTTGCATAGGAGTTAAATTAGACATGTCCATTGACATGATTTTATTATCCTCATTTCTCCGTTCTCTATCATTCATCATTGCTAAAATTTGTAGTTGGGCCTCCATATTCTTAGCCTTCTTCTCACGATCTACAACCTTTTGTTGATCTCGTTCAATAGATTGGGAAGACATACCATCCAACACTTTAAAAATTTTAGTTTGGTTGGCTACTATATCATCAAACTTAACATCCTGTTTCGCCCTCTTCCTTTGTGATTCTTTCATAGACTTTCTACCACTTGGTCAATTTGGTCTCTCTTTTGATGGTTCTATTTTTGTATCTAAGTCAATAGATACCAGAGTAGTAGGATTCGAAGGTGATGATGTATGAACTGTAGGTCCCTTGAATTGTGTTCTAAATTCATCCCACTTACAACTATATTTCAATATCTCCCAACAAGTATCGAACGTGAAGTGTTTTTTTTTTGAAAAACATGGTACATGTGTTTAGCCTCATTAATCTGAAAATAAAAATAATAAATATCAAATACTAAAATGATAAATTTTAATTTATTGTTGTTATACAAACACTTCATTTGTCTGCTTCCTCTACTCCACTTTGTTGTCTCATTTGTACTTGTCCTAGAAAACCAGAAAACGTATTAACGGCCTTTTGAATCAAAGACCAACGGTGACACAAAGAAATGTTGGTTCTAGTTAGTTGAACATTTGGTTGGGAAGAGAAATACGCAAGAACACGATTCCAGAATGCTGCTTTATTTTGGGTATTTCCTAACAGCGGATCTTGCAAGATGGCCAACCAAGCTCGACATACTACTTCATCTTCAAATATCCGAAAAGTTTTACTACGAGCACAACTACTTTGTGAAACAATTTCTATTCCATGAGATTCCTCTAAACTTTGAGAATTCTCAAACATTTTCATGATCATCCATTGTTGAGCTTAGAAGAAAAAAGAATAGAAACAAAGATATAAAAATTATCAACGAACATAAAAATAATCTAAACCTATACTTAAAAAGAAAACAATACCACAAACTTCAACAGTTACTAATTATGGTGGCCAGACAAAAAAGAATTAAATGATAGCCTTTCATGTTAGAACATCAAAACCACAAAAACCATTTTCATAGTCATGAGAGATTATATTCGCCCAATAAGTGAGTATTCAAAAGCCCCAATCATTACATTAAAAATCTTGACTACAATCAAAGAGTTAACATTAGAACTATTTAATTTGAAATAATTTTTGATCAAGCAAACCATCTTATTAATAGAAATTTATTGACACATCCTTTTCAATTTTTTCCCTTTGCCTTTTTCTCTTTCAGTGGCATCTTAGCATCAGTAAAACACAAAGAAATGGTGAAATTATATAGGAACATAAATCTATTCAAAAAGACTGTGAATTTTTTTTTAAACAGACTATGAAATATTAAAAATCAAAAAATTTGAATCTAAAATTTTTCACTGATTCCAACCTCCCAATAGTACATATTCTTTTATTTTATGAGTGCAATGCATGCATGTTGTGATGGAGAGAGAGAGAGAGAGAGAGAGAGAGATTTCTTTCTCCAAAATCAAGAAAATTGAGCACAACCCATTATAAGTTCATACAAGAACACAAGAAAAATGGCAGTGAGAACTATGAAGCACAACCTTAAAACAAAAGAAACAAGCGGTCATAGTTAGGGTTGTTAATCAAACTGAGTTACTTGAGCTTGACTTGAGTTCGGTTTGGGTTCAGCTCTTTCAGGCTCGGTTCGTTTTCTAAACGAGCCCGAACTTGAACAAGTTTTTAGACTCGTTTAGAAAACAAGTCCTACAAGCTCCGCTCGAACTCGACAAGCTCAGCTCATTTATGTGCAAATATTCGGGTTTGGCTCGGGCTCAATTCGGGTTCGGCTCGTTCAAACTCGGCTTGTTTAAGAAATGACCCAAACTTGAACAATTTTTAAAGCTCGATTAAAAAACAAGTTTTTCAAGCTTATTTCGAACTCGACTCGAGCTCGTTTGACTAACAGTCCTAGCCATAGTATTCAAGAATCTTACCTGTTGGTCTTCAAGATGTGATCGACGATGTAGGCAATTTTTAAGATACATGCAGGGAGAGACAAGAAGTTGTTTTGTTGGAGTCTTTTAGGTTTAGATAAGATAAAAAGTTACCGTTAAAAATTTGGTATAGAATTTGGGTCTCTCTCAATTTAAGTTTAGAATAAGTTTTTCCCTTTATTTGGTATAAGTTTGACTTTTGAGTAAGGTTGAAGAGGTTTTTTAGGCCGTTTAGACTCAAATTTAAAATTGAGTCTAAATTTGAATTAAAGTTACAGATAGGAGTGACAATTTTTGATACGACACGATAACCCAATACGAAACACGATACGAATAAATGGGTTTGAGTTGACTAATTTTTTGACACGACCTGCGCATGACACGACCCGCCAACACGAAGTGTTAATGGGTTGTGTTCGGGTTCAACCTGTTTAACACGAATTGACCTGTCAACACGAAGTTTTTAATTCAAAGAATATTAACTTGGCATTTTCGTTGCATGTATGAGTTTTTATGTTTTGATGACTTGTTTTTTCCATTACTTCTGATGTTTAATTTGGTTGTATGATATACAATAAACATATTTAATTAGTATTATATAAATAAAATAATAATTATTTGTAACTGTTTATAGAGTATTGACATAATTATTGTATAAAAAAGATACTATTACTCATTATTGTTGTTATTATTATTATTAAGTTAATTTTTAGTTTGTAGAAAAAATATGAGGAGAGATTCAATTAAATGAAAATAAAATCTTAGCATTAAATTTTTTATTCAAAGTTTATGTAGGTCAACACGAATATGAACACAAACACGATACGAAAATAAACAAGTCAACTCGACACGACACAAATAGTTAAATGAGTTATGTATGGGTTGACTAATATTTGACATGACCAGTGTTATGAAAAGCGCGCCTAGGCGATAAGCAAGGCGAGGCGAGACTAGCTCGCCTGGAGGACCCCAGGCGAAGCGAACGTGAGCGAGGCGAGAAAAAAACGAGAAAAAGCGAAAAAACGAAGAAGCGAAAAAAGCGAAAAAGCGATCGCTTTTGTTATAAGAGGCGAAATATTTTATTTTTAATTTAGACCGTAGGATTGGGCGATTGCAAAAAAAATTTTAAGATGTTAATGTACCGAATTATTCCCTTATCCTATAAATAAAACTCATAACCTAATTTTGTTTATTTTTTCTCAGATAGCTTCAATCGGTGCTGCCTCTCCACTGCTACACGATCGATCGGTGCTGCTCTCCACTGCTTCGATCGATGCTGCTTCGATCAGTGCTGCTCTCCACTGCTACACGATCGATCGGTGCTCCTCTCCACTGCTACACGATCGATTTGGTGCTGCTCTCCATTGCTGCTCTCCACTGCTACACGATCGGTGCTGTTCTCCACTGCTACACTCCAAGGCTTCGAGTTTTTCGCTACTTCTACACCATTGTTGTTGCTGGACTGAGGGTTTGGAGGGCTGGTCTGGACTGTGGAGGTTAGTCTCTTCTTCTTCTCTCTTCAATTTTTTTTTCTTCTGTCTTCTGCTCCTTCACCGATTCTGGTTATTCTTTTTTTTTTCTTGATCTGATTCAGAACAATGTTATTTGAATCTAAATTTCTAATATAATTTGTTAGTATAATGGTGTGCCTTTACTTTACATAATTTGATAGCATTAATAAGGCTTTACTTATCAATTTTTTACTATTTTGTTTTCTCATTAGTCCCTTTACATCATTGGATTAGTGAACTCACTATAATGCTTCGTAGGTATTCTATAGAAAATTCAAGAAAAATTGGACAGATGATTATTGAATTCGTGGAGTCATTGATTTTGGTATCATATATGCTTTCCGTGAACAAGGAGGAATTCACCAAACCCATGCACTTCAAAAATTTATTTTTTTTTAAAATCAATCACTTTCAAACTTATTTCTTAAATTTAGTCATTTTTAAAAGACGTTTAAATATAACGCTTTTCACGCACTAAATATAAATATTGAACTAAATTTGATGTGTAGTGCGTTAAAGGCGTCATGCCAAATCATGTCTTTAAAAACATTATTTCAAATAATCTTTTAATTCATGAAGGCATTATTTAAAATAATGTCTTTTTAAAAGTGATTGAATTTGAGAAATAAATTTAAAAATAACTTATTTTGAAAAAAAAAATTGAGGTGGGGCATGCCTTTGGTGAATAATCGTGTGTAAGCTTAGTTTCATTTGGTAATAATATGGTCGGAGACTGCATAAGAATTATACAAACAAATGAAAATGCAAGACTTAATGCATTCAGTACAAGTTAAATTGTTTACATGTTAAATATGAAATTGTTTACAACGTAATGCTTCTGGTTTTTTTTTTGTTTGCTCATTTTGCTTCTGGTTTTTTTTTTTTTTTGTGTTGTTGTCCTGATTCTGCTTCTGTCCAGTCAATATGAAATTGCTCCTGTGCTGCTTCAATATTTTTTTTCCTCAGTCGTCTGTTTTTTTTTTTGTTGTTGCATTCTACTGCTGTCCTGATTCTGCTTCTTTTGTTGTCCCGTCCTGTCAATATAAAATTGTTTACAACTGATATAAAATGTGATTCAGTACATGTGAATGTGTTTTGTTCCTTTGATTGTAGTGTGATAGTGTTATTCATAAATGGCATCGTCGTCCGAAGGGAACAAAAAAGTTCCGGCATGGAAATATGCACACTTGGTAAATCCTCAAAACACAAACAAGTTCAAATACAATTTTTGTGGAAAAGAGTCAAATGGAGGTGTCTATCGGGTCAAGCAACACCTAGCAGGGAACTCTACGAGTGTTATTACTTGTCCAAAATGCCCTGCTCATGTTAGGGAGGAGATTAGAGAATACATGGCTAAAAAAAAGGAAGAGAAGAATCTAATGAACATGGTTTCCGACTTTGATGAGATGCCTAATGACTTGGAGGAGGATGAAGATGATATTGTAGAGATTGTTGCGAATCGTAAAAGATCCATGACTAGTTCTAGTCAAGGTTCTACACAAGCCACATCGAGACCAAAAAAGCCAAGACAAAAAGGGCCTATGGATGTATACTTCACCCCTGATCCGAATGTTGTGGTGCAAAATCGAAAGACCAAGGGGAGACAAACGAATATTGATGCCAGCGATCCTTTTAGAAAGGAAATGAGAGAAAGAGCCATCACAACATTTGCCCGATGGATGTATGACACGGGAATTCCCTTTAATGTTGTGAACTATGAAAGTTTTGCAGCAATGGTTGAAACTTTTGGACAATATGGTCCTGGTTTGAAACCCCCTTCTTACCATGAGGTTCGGGTCCCATTGCTCAACAAAGAAGTAGGGCATATAAAGTCATTGATGAAAGATCACCAAGAGGATTGGGCAAAATATGGATGTTCCATAATGGCCGATGGATGGACTGACAAGAGAGGGAGAACCTTGATTAATTTCTTAGTGAATTGTCCAAAAGGGACCATGTTCTTTGAATCTGTTGATGCTTCTGCATACTCAAAGGATGGGCAAAAAATGTTTGAATTGCTTGATAATTTTGTAGAGCATATTGGTGAAGCTAATGTGATTCAAATTGTCACTGATAATGCGGCAGCAAATGTGTTAGCAGGTAAGCTTCTTGAAAAAAAAAAAAAAAGATAACTACTTGTTATATTGAATTTTTTTTATGCACACTAGTTGGTAAAAAAATCTTTATTTAATAGGTAAGTTTTTGGAGGCAAAACGACCCAATCTATATTGGACGCCATGTGCTGCCCACTGCTTGGACTTGGTATTGGAAGATATCTTCAAGTTGCCAAACTTCAAGAGAACATTTGAAAGAGGAATAGCATTACACGGTTATATTTATAACCGTCCAACTCTGTTGAATATGATGAGACGATTTACCCAGTCAAGGGAGTTGATTAAGCCCGCAAAAACTAGATTTGCTACGGCTTTTCTTACGCTAACAAGGATCAACCAACAAAAAGGTAACTTGAGAAAAATGTTCACTTCAGAGGAATGGACTACAAGCAAATGGGCAAAAGAACAACAAGGCAAAAGGACAGCACAAATCATTTTAATGCCTTCATTTTGGAGTAATGTTGTCTACTCTCTTAAGCTTACTGGCCCTCTTGTCCGTGTGCTTCGATTGGTTGATGGTGAGAAAAAGCCTCCCATGGGGTACATTTATGAAGCTATGGACCGGGCTAAAGAAGCGATTGCTAATTCTTTTAATGGCAATGAAGAGAAGTACAAACACATCTTTGAAATCATTGACCGAAGGTGGGAAGTTCAATTGCATCGGCCTTTGCATGCAGCTGGGTATTTTTTGAACCCAGAGTTTTTCTATTCCAATCCAGAGGTTGAGAAAGATCAAGAAGTCATGAATGGCCTATATAAATGTTTGGAAAAGTTGGTCTCAAATCCTGCGATACAAGATAAAATTGGTCAAGAGTTGAGTATTTACATGAAAGGTGAAAACCTCTTTAAGTTGCCCATGGCGGTTAGACAAAGAACAACTAGGGCACCAGGTAATCTATGTTATCCCACAAGCTTATTTCATTATCATTGCTTAAATATGTTAGTTAATTAATTGTTATTCATTATTCACAGCTGATTGGTGGAGTGCATATGGGTCTGCAACTCCAAATTTGCAAACCTTTGCAAAAAAAGTTTTAAACCTTACTTGTAGTGCATCCGGTTGTGAGCGAAATTGGAGTGTGTTTGAGCATGTAAGTATCATCCTCAAACCTCTTCAATTACATTTTTTTTTAATCTTATTATAAATTTTAATGTATTGTTAATAAATTATTGCAGATACACACCAAAAAAAGAAATAGACTAACTCAATCCCGTCTCAATGATTTGGTGTTTGTTAAGTATAATAGAGCTTTGAGGCGCCGATATGATTCTCGTGACACAATTGATCCAATATCTTTGAAGGATATTGATGATAGCAATGAGTGGTTGATTGGGAGAATGGATGCAGACACAGATGAAGATAATGAGCTTGTGTTTGGTGATGATACTTTGACTTGGGGCGAAGTCGCTCGAGCTTCTGGAGTTACGGAAAGTAGCCAACGGACTAGATCAATACCATCTACTAGGGTAACACCAAGGTTTACAAGATCGACGACTGGACTCACAGATGAGGAAGACATAATTTCAGATGAGGCAGAGGAGGAGGATACTGAGGGATATGAATCTAAGGATAATGAAGAAGATGGTTTCTTTAGTGATGAGGATTGATTTCTAAGTCCTTGAGATATTTTCTTTAGTTGCTTGAATTATGTGTCTTATGTTTTTAAATATTAGGATTTGGGATATTATTAGTATTTGTATGAATTTAAATGTTTAAACTATGACTGTTATTAAGATTTGCAATATTATTAGTGTTTGTTTTAATTTAAATGTTTATGATTTTACTTTAAATGTTTATGGTTTTACTTGTATTTAAATATTTAGTATATATAAAATTAAAACTTTGATGTGTATAAGTAATTACACTAAAATATTTATTTATTTTTTTAACTGCTCGCTTCGCTTTGGTAAATCGTTTCGTTTCGCTTCTCGCCTAGGCGTTAAGAGCCTTGGTCGCTTCGGTTCGCTTAACGCCTTAAATAACACTGGACATGACCAATATTTGACACGATACAACACGATTCGATTGTCACCTCTAAATACAAATGTTTTTAGGTGAAATTCAGTCGTTATTCAAATTTAAACTCGAACTTAAATTTGGGTTAGACAAATGCTCAAAAACTCATTTCGATCTTTGACTTAATCTTATATAAAAAATAAAAGAACTCTTTTGAGCCAAAATTTGAACCCTTCTCTCTGTCGTCTATTTACCAAGAAGGGTTCCCCGCCAAAACTTCCTCTTCCATCTCTCACGCCAGTGCTCTTTCCCGTCGGTCCCCACCACAAAGGAAGTTAAGAAAATCAACAGCAGTCATCGGCTTCTATAGATTTTCAAGAAATATTCAGGGAAGTTTATAACACTAGATCATATATCACTGTTCTCTCCATAAACATATAGCTGGAATTCGAAGTTGGGTTCTCTTGGTTTCAGATGTGGGTTTTTGTTTGATTTTGTGGGTTTGATCTGTTTGATTGGTTTCAGAAGGAATGTTTGATCTGTTGTGTGGGTTTGATCTGTTTGTTTGATTTCGTGGGTTTGGTCTGTTGAAATCCAATTTGAAATACCATTACTTGCCCTTGTTTGTGCTTGTTTTGATTCTGTGGACTGATTCAATTCTGTTCAAGGAGCCGTTTTTTGAGATGAAGGAGACTGTGGTTTTAAAGAAAAAAATTAAAGAAATGAGCTTTTGGGGTAATATGAGAATTTTTAAAAAAAAGATTTGAGTATAAATTTGTTTTTACTCATTGGAAAAGTTCATACCAAATTAAGTTTTTTATTCATTTTTTTACCCAAGTTTGAGTTTGGGTCAACATTGTATATGCCCTTATACGTTGCTAAAGCGATGAAGGCAGAGCTGAAGAAACTGCAATGGGAAAGGTAAAGGGAAAGAAATTAGGTATTTTCACATTGTATTGGCACAATGCTTTTGGTATTACTTTATATGAATAGCTGATTCCACCATCTTCTATTTGATGTTTTTTTTGTTCTATTTGACTGGTTATACTTGCTTTTTTTTTTTTTTTTTTTCTTTTTTGAAAAAATTGTATTTTATCGTAAACATGTAGGTACATGATCATGTCATCTTCAAGTAATATGGGAGGAGGGAAAACACTTGACTTAGGATTTACTGCAAAAAATTGTGGATGTGGGCGAAAAGCCTCTATTAAATTCTTTGAGTCTGAGAAGCCATGTTGTATTACATGTGTGAGGACAACGGTGGTAATTTTTTTGCCTGGTGTACTCCAATCACTGCAACATGGATGGCAAGTGGAGTTCTAGCCAACCCTGGCAAAGAGCATTGGACTGAGAAAACAATGGTTGAGGATGTTGATGATCATTACAATATATTAAGTGCGAGAGTATTACTACTTGAAGCTAAGCAATTGGCAATGACAATGATAATGAAGGAAGGGTTACCAATGTTGTTATTTGTGTGATCATCTCCATGTTAGGCATTATGATGAGTTTTTTAGTTGTATTTTTTGGTGTAATATGGAAGTTTTAGAATTATTATGCTTATGAGAAAATAAGAGTCATATCTGTTAAAAACAGTTGCACAAAGTCAATATTTTGTACCATGGTTCAAGACAAAAAAAAACATAACAATTACATTCAGCACAAATGAGTTTACCAACTAGGAAATAAGTTAAATTCCTTACAAAAAATGAGCAAAATGATTGCTCACAATCACTAGCTGAATACCAACAAAAAACGAGATGTAAATGAGATGTTATAATAGGGCTTTCTTTCTAGCCCTGATCTTCTACAGCAAAGTTGACATTGTAGGGGGATTAGGTTGATATACACTTGAACCAAAACCAGTGGCGGTTCTCCCAACACCCTTTCCAGCAACACCACTTGCTGCACCACCAGATCCTCTACCTGTAGCGTCACCTAAACTTACACCAGACCCCTTCATGCACCACTTGCTCTTTCTTTTCCTACTACCTTTCCACATATAGTTGGCAACTTCATACATTGAGAGTTTACATTGATAACACCAGATGCCCTTGAGCTACCACAATTGCTTGGCTGAGATGTCATTGTAGCAGCACAACCATTGATTGGCTGAGATGCAAATCCCTTTGCAGCAATATCACCATTGCTTGGTTGAGATCTAGTTTTCCTTGCAGCATTACCAACATTGCTTGGTTGAGATTCAGTTTCCCTTGTAGTCGTACCTCCATTGCTTGGCTGAGATCCAGTGTTTGATTGTCTCTGCAAGCATAGAAGTTAAGTTATATTCCATATGGAGGCATATAAGCATATAACCGTAGAAGTTTACCCTTAGCAACTTTGATTGTGGACAAATTCTATTCTTGCATGACCTCTTATTGTGACCATGCATCAAAATTTGGCACAAGTCTCATTTAGCTTCTTCCTTGTAGGTTCATCTGTTGATCTTTTTCTTAGCTTCTTGGGTCTGCTTCCTTGCATTTGGTGGGTCAGTTGAAACATAGGCATGAATTCCAGGAATTGGGTGGATCATGTATGAATAAGTGGATAGACAAGTGGATCTATTATAGTTGTCCCCTATTTATATTCTTCAAGTGACAACCATCAAGGCCAATAATGGGCCTGGATTTGGCCAAGAAACAATTCTTCATGGCACCAAATCTAAAATACATTCTTTGAAATGTAGGATGTAGCGCATATAGTTCTGGCCTCAACAAAATCTGAATGTTTGGATTTTGCCTCTTGATTGTCTCACAATTATCCCACAGCCGATAATACTACTCCTTCACATCCCCATCAATAACATTTTTGGCATTTCTCTTTGCTCGATAAACCTGGTATATACTTGCATTGACCATTATTTTCCGTTTGATTGAATTATTGAATGCTATCACTTGAATCCCAGGATTATCTCACATCTTCAAGAAATCTCCTTCGCAAATACTTAGAATTGGCTTGCTTGTTTTCATAATGTCTACCACATGCATGTTTCCCAATTAGTGTTAATCTAAAAAGTACTACTCCCACCTATTGGAGATGTATGGATTCTCCAATCACATCCATACCTACATGTGGCTGTTATTCTTTTGTTTTCATTCCTGATGTATACAATATCATACCCATGCACCAGATTATACTCTTTAAGCAGCTCTCTAAACCTAGGTGATGGAAATTTCATGCCCACAATCAACACTGGATTCCTCAAGTGGACAGTCTTATTGAATTCTGGGTAATCATCACCCTCTTCATCTGATGACCCTCTTAAACTCTACAATTCCTCATCGTTCTTTGGTTCAGAATACTAGTTATCAGCATTCACCTCAACACCACATGGTGGTCTAACTTGGTCATCATCTGCCTGACCAGGTTGACAAACTTGGTCATCACATGTCCCACCATTAGCAACACTTGCTGGAACATTAACATTAAAAATTTCATCATTGTTACCCTCAAGATCTTCATATTGCCAACTTGGGTCATCACTATCAATATCATGGCTACTCTCATTTAATACATAATCAAGATCATCAGAGTCAGCTTTAGTCATGTAATACATCAACAAAGTCAGCTTCAAAGCCATGTAATACATTACTATCAACTTCAATCACCCCTTCCCTGTTACCCTCATTAACATTTGCATTGCCTAGATTTATGCCAATAGGACTTGGCAAAATATAAGCATATGCAGACAAATTGTAACATTTCTCCACATATATTACAATAACTGGTAGATCTATACATACAGAAATCATTTTCAATAATATCATAATTAGTCACTATTCTTCTCAAACCCGTATCCAAACTATACCCAGGAAACCTATAATAGTTGTCAATGTTTATCTCATCCCCACTTATTATGGCATGCATGTCTGATATCTCTATTAAGGATATTTTATCTGGGTGACAATCTTTAGTGTATGTTACCTTACCACCTTCATACCGATTGTGTGGCTTCCAAATAAAATATCCCACATAGTGTATTTGAATAGTAAACGTATGCTCAACCATCATGCATTATAATAAATGGATATATTAGCCACTGTCTTAATTTATTTTATTATTAGACAAAAAGTCGATAGTGTGGGTCACGCACACATGTCATAGTGGAGTCAATACCACTTTAGGAACATCTGGGACCCCAAAGATTGCCATTGGGCATGAAAAGTGGAGAGCTAATATGCATATACATATTGAAATAACATCTGGAACCGCAACACAACATATTGGACAACAAAAACTACCATTGGGCATGAAAAGTGGAGAGCCAATATGCATATACATATAACAACTGATTCTTGAATAAAAAATTGAAAATAACATGCTTTGAAAAGTCATGAATACCTTAACAATGACAAAATCAAATCATAAACAATATTCTGAGAATCATAAGCATGCATAGAAAGTCCAGGTCGCATAACTTGAGAGACCAAAACCACTATCGTAACAACTACAATAGGAATCCCAAAACTGAAAATCAACTAGTAATCGAGTTGAATAGATAACTTACTTATCGCTTTATTTTCTTTGAAGAAATTGTACCAGAGGCAGGATCTGAGCCTGGTGATTCCAAATTGCAAAAACCCTATATTTTTCCCTAATTTTGAAGGTTCTCACTCTCCAGACTATTCGGTCAAAATCCAACTCAAATGACTAAGTTCTAGGGTTTTGAGTTATATTTATAGGGGGCATTAAATATATTTTTCACTTGCCATTAACGGCGTCTATGGTGCAAAAAAGTCCATATACCATAGGGCTGAGGGGGTTATTTGTCATTTAGAGACCATAGGAAGTGATGTGCAAACAAGTTAACCCATAGACAGGTAAAGTGAAGTTTACCCTAAAATATATGTACAAGTATTTATATCACTATCTCATCTCGTTTAAAAATTTATTTGGTTAGAAAGTTTGTTACTACAGTTGTATACTTCCACGGATCCCTTCAAGTGTGAGCTGAATTCAGTGCATGTCGAATGCAAAAATTCATATTCTAATATCATATTAAATCATCTTATTTCAAAGGTTGACTAGTTAGAAAGTATATTACATAAATGTTAATGCTTGAATAAAAAGAGCTCAGTTGTTTCCACGATCACCAATTAAATAGAAGAAAAAGTAGTTGCAGCAATACTAGATGGCGCCAAACTAAAAGGAAATGTTGGGTCCTTGTAACTGGATGACCAACTGCAAGACATTCAAATTTCCTAAGCAAATAAAATACTTAAAAAATTATTTTTCTCAAACTTCAATATCAAGAACAAATTATACACACACATATACATATATTTGTGAGAATGATAATTAAAGGAGGCACACCCTTCTACTATTTTTAATTAATTATCGCAAGTTTTTATCTCGAGTTTGAGGTCGTGGGACAATATAATGACTTAGATCTAGGGTTAATGTAAATGTAGATGAATACCTATAAAACATAGAGTGGTACTATATGAAAATAAGATATTTTTGTCTCTCATTTGCATTTTATCGAATAAAATTCAAGTCCACTCACAAAACTTTTATTTCAACAGTTGAAATTGACCATATGAATATTGTTTCACCATTGTATTTTATCAAGGTGTCATACTTTTTATGAAACTGTGATGATTATATTTATCTTTACTATTTTGTTCACAATTAATTTCAATCTATCTCTACTCCTCACATTTTCATGAATATGTATCAAATCGCTCTTTCTCACTGGTGCATTACTAGATCTTCTATAATCATGTTCAAACCACCTAAGTCAATTCTTAATTTATTCTTTGGTGGTTGTACTTCTATGATTTCACTAATATACTCATTTCTAATTTTATCTTTTCTTGTTTTGTCACTCATCCTTGTTAACTTCCCCTATTTCTATGACACTTGGTATTGGAGCGTGTTATTTCTTAATTGCCCCACATTATGTACCATAAAAATATTGTTAGTCTAATGGCTATCTTATAAAACTTATTTATCAACCTAAAAAGTATACATGGATCACATAATACACTAAATGCATTCCTTCATTTAATCTATCCTATTTTAACTATATAGTTAACATTGTTTCCAATCTCTTCCTCCCTTTGGATAATCGACCCAAAATACTGAAAGTTTTTGCTTTTAATTATCTCCTTATCATCGATTTTTACTACCTACCTATTTGAACTTTTACGAATATTAAAATTGTATTCCATATTCGATGTTATTTTTACTTATTTTTAATCTGTTTCAGTCTAAAGTTTCTCTCCAAACTTTCAACTTATTGTTGATTCGTTTTTTAGTTTTATTGATTAATACTATGTCATCACAAATAATAATTATGGAATTTCATTTAAAATGTGTCTAGTCAATTTATCCAAAATTAAGGCAAAAAAGGTATGAATTTAATGCAAGCCTACAACATTGGGAATTGACTACTTTCGCCTATAGTTGTTCTAACTAACGTCATTGTATTCTCGTACATATTCTTAATCATATCTATTTATAACTTTCTTCAATATATATATATATATATATATATATATATATTGATCTTGATCCAATCTTGTAATAAGGTCAAATATAATTGGTCTTAGATAAATATCCAACTTGAGCCCAACTTCTAGAAGTTTCTAGAAATTTATTAATGTGAGTAGTTGGGAGTTGTAGTTGGAAGATAATAGAGGTATTAATGTGAGTAGGTGGAGTTGGTAGAGATATTTAGTTTAGAGAGGTAGAGTTATTATAAGTAGTTGGATGCATTAAATATACGTAGGTAGTGGTAGAAAAGCCCTGTATAAAGGGTCCTTATGTGATGAATTATATTCAAGTTTGAAATCAATAATATTTCTTGAAAGTTCTCTTATTTTCTCTATGGATTTAGATTGTGTATGTTCTTATACTTGAAAACAGTAATTTCCTTGTGTCCCTTCGTCTACTGCTTGTTAATTGGTATTAAAGCCTTAACTAACCTAACATGATGACTAATCAACAAGATGCATGATAATCTTCCTTATGATGGTGATCATGTGGAAGAGGTTTTTACGAGAGCCGAATTATTAGATTTCAAACGACAACAACAATAGGAGTTCCAACAATTCTAGCAAATCCTTGCAAGTGCTATGGGCTATGGTTACTCAGTTGGCATTGGGTCCAAAGCAAGATCCCGATTGATAGAAGGTACATAACAACAATAGGGTTCATGTTCAACCCATGCGAGATCAATTTCTTGTCTATCCAACTAGACAGAATGTTTGTGGCGTACATGTTCTTGTAGCATCTATCGCAAACTCCAGCGATGATTATGGCAAGCAATTGCTTGGTAGCACTGCAAACTATAGGAATTTCAACTGTGAGTCTAGGGATTTTCATGTGAAAGTTGACCTACCTAGTTTTAATGGTCATCTTCATATTTTATGATTTTCTTAATTGGTTGACTGAAGTGGATAGATTCTTCAACTATATGGAAATTCCAGACGAGAAGAATGTGAAACTAGTGGCTTATAAGTTAAAAGGAGGGGCTCTTGCCTGGTGGGAACAGATACAACTTGGTCGCACAAAAAAGGACAGTTATCGAATCCATGTCTGGCCAAAGATGAAGAGTTTGATGAGGTTGAGGTCAAGATTTTTACCCCCAGATTATGAGTAAATCCTATTTCTATAGTATCAAGATTGCAAACAAGATAATAAACTTGTTCAAGCATAAGTAGAGAAGTTCTAGCGGATGTCTTTGCACAATAATCTATATGAAACCGAGTCTTATAATATTGCTTAGTTTATTGGCGGCTTGCATTTTGCTATTCAAGATAGGGTTTCACTACAGACCTTGAATTCTTTGATCGAGACCATTCACCTAAATATGAGTGTGGAAACCTAGTTATAAAAAGAGAGGACTCAGGTGCAAAATTGGAGTTCCTTTAAGTCATCACCACCCCTGGTGAAATTAGGAAAATATATTATGAGTACTTCATTCTCTTTTTCAATCCCAAGTCGAGAATCCAACAACAACGGGTACCTGCATGGATAATAGCCTCAGGTTCAGGTTTTACTCTAGTGTTGAATGAAGCGCCGAAGCATCCTTATGCCATACCTGGAGGAGATAAGTGCTACTGATGCGGTCAACTAGGACACCGTTCTAATTAGTGCCCTAATAGGGGTATAGTAAATTTGGTTGATGCTGAAGGGGCTGATTAGGAGGAGAACTACTAGGTGGAGGATCGTGCTTTCAAGGAAGAAGATGAGAGTGAATAGACATATGATGATAAGGGATTTCTCTCATTCTTCGTCGATTGATGTATACTCCTAAGATCGAACATGACATTCAGAGTGCATGGACCAGAGAGCTTCTTTGTTTGATTATTGATGGTGATAGTAATGAGAATATTATGTCCCAAGAGGTGGTCAACAAGTTATAGTTGCGGACTGTGAAACACCATTCTCCCTATACTATCAGATGGATCAAGGATATCGGCAAAACAAAGGTAATAGAACAGTGTCGTATCAAATTTTCTATTGGCAAGTATAAAGATGGAATTATATGTGATGTTGTGGATATGGATGTGTGTCATATTCTGTTGGGGAGACAATGACAGTGTGATCTGAATTGTATTCATAAAGGTAAAG